GGGTGAATACATCTCATTACAATGATTTACTGGTAGTCTCGAAACCCTACTTTCTTACGAATAATAATTATATCTGACGAAGATGTAACTTACAGCACCAGTGGGGAGTAGTGAATGCTTGGTTTCAGCGCGCTCGTCATACTGAAGGCAAGCAGAGCTCAAGAAGTGGAGAAGTGAAGAGAGCAGCCGATAGTCTGCTGAACATGTAGGCATCGTTTCCAAATATCGTTCTAGAAATGCGAGGATCCTGGGTAAATGATATGATGAAGCAGATGATGAGGGAGGAAAAGACTTTTCCATGTAATCGTGATTCGACTGGATGCAAGTGGAATTCGAGGTCTTGAACCCCAAAAGCAATGAACTAGATTCCAAATCAGACTCCAATGCCTCAATATTTCTGAGCCAAATGGACGCATGTGAAGAATACGGAAAAGGTGAGATAGTAGAAGCCTCAAGGCCTCGAAGCACATTATATAGTGAATGTAGGACATCGGCATGGCCCTTGGCAGTGGCTAGGAAGCTAAGGTTGATACCCGTGCAGAGAGGCAGATGACTAGTAAGAAGAAGTAGGGAATCTTCATAGTTCAGCCATAGGAGGTCAGAAAATCTGAGGGAATGAGAGAATACGCGAAAAAATAGGATGTAGAGACTTTGTGAGTGACAAAAGCATATTATAATGGATGACTTTGTTGAGATCATAATGGTCACTGTAAGATGGAGAGTTAAAATGTACACAAAATATGGATGTGTTTGAAAATGTTGTACATATTCCGATAAGAATGAGGCATGGACTGAATTCTTAAGAATAGGCAATAATATTAAATACAAGTCGTGTGACCTTATTTTCACAACTTGGTCATATTGGCAGTAAGATCTTGAAGAACGCACCATGTCCAGAGTCCATTGTATGTATGATAATATCCAGAGTTGGACCGTGGACTTGGTACATTCCCACGATCCAACTCTGTAAATTATCATGCATACTATGGACTACGGACAAGGTGGATTCCTCAAAGTCTTCCTGCCAATATGACCAAGTTGCGAAACAAGGTCAAATAACTTCT